CATTTTAATACCAATTAAGGCCTTTTGAAGAATTCAATGCCTTTTAAGACTTTTTAAGGACCCGCAGGAACCCTACTATCGTTGCTTGCAGCTACAGTTTACACTGTATGACAAAACACAGTTCACGATGTTTGTTATCACACTGTGCGACCAGACGCTCTGATGTGATCTACCTGCTCATACTGTCATCTAAAAACCACATGGGACTCAGCTCCGCGGTGAGATGGCGCTACTGGGAGTAGTCGCCAAACGAGTAGAAGAGGAAAAAGATGGAAGTGTCGATGCCTCCTGTTAAATATGAAGCTCACTAGAGTGAACCGTGCTGCCTTGGCAATTTGTGCCATTTTATGCTGAAAGCCCTAAAAAGAAAAGGCGACAATGTGTTTGGCGAAAGACCTGGCTGAGCAAACATGTTTACTACGGTCTGTCAATTCTACAGAAAGAACTCCATTTCACTCATTGCACCCCCGCCATGCTTCTGTGTTTTCATCTGAGAGGAAGAAGAAGAGGAGGAATCCTTGTTTGCACACTTAGCGATTTGCCCACGACGGTCGACTGAAAATCAAACATGTTTGATTTTATCTCGACCTCACGATTCCTGATGGGGAGGCGGTTGTGAGAGACTGATCACCACTCGTTACGCCCTGTATAAAGCACACAATCAGGCTGAAAGTCTGCCCCATCGAAAAATTCTTGAACAACTCGAAAATCGTCCCGAAAAGGGTAAAAAATCATACAGTGTAAGCCCGGCTTTAGATCTGCAGAGCTCCACTTCAGAAAAGTCTAAATTTATTTGCCCTAAAGCACATAAGTACCCCGTCCTGCTCGGCTGGGTTGTTCCAAAAAAAAAAAAAAAAAAACTCTTGGTTTCTCTCCCATCCATACCATCTCAAAACTGTGGATCAGTTTCATTTCGTCTTTTTTTTTAGAAGAGAGAATAAATTTCACCATTTGGATCTGTGCTCATCTGGATTTCTGTTTTTTTGTTTTTTTTGTCTCAGAGGCCAAAGCAGCGGAGGAAGCCGGTCTGAACGTCCTTGTGGTGGTGCGGCCTGGAAACATGGAGCTGACGGATGAGGAGAGCGCTCACTATAACCTCATTACCTCCTTTAGTCAACTTCAACTGACAGGACGAGCTTAACGCACACCCTTATTTTGCCTTGTCTACTTTGCATCCCCAACCTTTTTTTTTTTTCTCTAATATTTTTCACTCTTCTGTTCTTGATTTTTGAGCGTTTGGAGGTACTGGGACTGTTTTTCGCTAACTGTGGCTAACCAGAGTCTTAAACAAGTATTTGCACTCCTTCAACTTTTTCCCCTCATTTTGTGTTTTGGAGTATAAAAGTGATGTTGGAGGAAAATAAGCTACTTGATTTAACTCCACCATGATTGACCGGAAGATCCATGTTCACTCCATTGTTACATGGCTTTGAGCAAAGATTAAAGTCTGTAGTTTACCTGCACCTTTCCAGCACGGTTTTCCCCATCAACTCCAGTCCATAATGATCCCCTCAGCATGATATTGCCATTGCCGTGCTTCACATTAGGATAATGTGTTCAGAGAAAGCTGCAGTCTTCTGAATGCATCTGGTTCCACTACGTTTAATCAGGGGTATCGAAGTAGAGCAAATGACTAGAAAAAAAATCCTGCCATGTTTTGGTAAAAATGTAATAAAATGTAGAAAAAGTTGAAGAGGTGTAAATACTGGCGCTGTGTGACCCTGGTGAAATCCTCAATGGGATGCCTTCTTTATTTGTATAAAGTGTTGTGATAAAGTGAAAGACTGTCATGGACTGGGAAACTGTGGATGGGTGCTATACAATCACTGAATCATCAACATGCCTGCGGAAAACTGCACAGAAACTGTGAGGTTACCCTTAATGTTTCATCTTTTCCACGGACCGTGTGTCCGACTGCCACTTTCCAGCTGTTCGTATAAGAGCGTGATGTAGCTGTTGCCATTTTGTAAAGCGTTGTCTGCCTGTGGAGTTACCGGACATGCTAAAGTCGAGCCTTGTTCTCCTGTTTTTTTTAGAAAGTAGAATCACACTCTAGAAACACCCTGCTGTAGTACGGACAGAAAATTCCCCACATCTAACCGATGTTGGAAAGTCTTAACTCGTCCCTTTTGCTCAGGCATGGTGTCTGTTCATAATGTGCCATCTGTTAAATGTTATGTCGATGGTGGAAACTGTCCACACAGTAAACAGTTCTTAATTATGCCAGAGTGACGATCAAATCTGTAAACTGAGTTGGTATTAATCCAGAAATAAACACTGTCATTGTCTTGTTGTCTCATAGTTTGGATAATCAATTGGGTTTAATATTTGTTTCCTGTCTGCAGGGAGTTCCAGGTTCTCTCTAAATTCCTGTTTCTTTCCCATTAAAAAAATAAAATAATAAATTGTTACTCAAACATTTTGAACTGAAATATTTAAAACTACTTTCACCTCATAGAAAACTGAACCAATTTGATTGTATGATCTGAAAAAAATAAAATGAACTGAAAATTGTATATCAATATACTATATATATATATATATATATATATAAAGTATATCAACATCACTGTGGTTTTAAATATACATTGAATATAAAAGATGACTAATACGTTTTCCATTGATGGTTAAAGGTCCTTGGGAATTTAGGATCTAAGGATGTGTGTTCCTCTGCAGGGGAAAATCTGTCAATATTACCTTAAAAGGCTGTATTTTGATCTTTTCCCACAATAATGTACCATCTCTTAAAGAACAAAAACTTTCTAATCAGTTTTAAATCCATTTTCAAAATATTTACTGCAGAACCAACAGTATCTGGGTTATTCATCCACATGCTGTGCGTTCGGGTCAAGAAAATGTTCAACATGTAGTTTCGCACATGTATAATGGATCCATTTACTCTAACCTTTGACCCTATATAATATTTTTTCAGGTTGGGATGGAGGACATATAAACACAAAGTATATTTCTTCTAGATATTAAATTTTTAGATGGTTGTAGCTCAAACAATTTTCTCCAGCACCATTTCTCCAACTTCCCTAGCAACACCAAAACCACCAGACATTTAATTTTTTTTTTAATCAACCTTTATTTATTCTTTTTTTTTTTTTTTAAACCAGTGGGCAATCAAAAGACTCAGTGAAGCAGCAATGATTACAATGATTAATTGCATAAAAACTACAAAAAAAGGGGATAACATTGTAATCAGCCGGTGATTAAGATTATTACGAAGAGTAATAACCTGAAACTTACTCGTAGAATCCTTCTAAATTTTCCTTTAATTTCTTGTTTAACCGCTTTTAGCAGAAAAAATATATAAAATATAGCTAATTTAGACCCATACTTTTCTTTTTCTTAAGGATACACACAACACATTTGACTTGAGTCGATGTGCGTTCATGTGGCTGTAGCTTTAGCGACATTAGCGGTTAGCCATGTTTCATTTACCACCGTTTACCGGTCCTTTCATTGTAGAAAAAAGTTCGACAATCAGCAGCACTGTAGTTTGAGAAGGTAATTAACTGATTTTTGTAGTCCCCTTTTTTTTGAAGGAACGTGAAAATAGTGATAGCATGTCAGGCTAATGTTAGCATCATTCCAGGAATGATGTTAATCAAGGATAGGGTTGCCGCTCATCCCTTGAAATACGTAATCGTCCAGTATTTGGAAGTTAAATTACGCGTCCCGTATTGAACTGATAACGGACACTATTTGTTCCGCATTTTCCCAAATAACTAAAAAAAACAGTAATTTCGGTGGCACTTGTGCACAGAGAAACTCTACTTTTGTGAATGTGACCCATGTCTCCCATTCCTGATTCTCCCTCCCTCTCGTAGCTAGAGCTTAGAGTTCTACTGTTCTTGTTTCATCTTATCCGTATGACGTCTGTCTAAAGCATTCTCCACGCGGTTCTCTTCTTGGGGCGTTTGTCATGGTTTTGCTTCTAGTTCTACAAACTGTGCACCTGCGCAAGCCAACTCGAAGCCTCTATTGCAATATTATTCATTACACAGCAGGTTGGCAGGAAAAGTAGCACAACAAAGTGAGTCATTTATTGAACTGGATAAATAAAAACCAAAAATAAGCACACACAAAAAAAATACCCGGCCAAGCACGCCATCGGTTTTGTGAGGGGATTTCTGTGTATGATGATACTGTGCAAACTTAACATTTCCATTTATTAATTATTTTAATTGGCTGTAGCTTATTGCAGAAAATACAAGCCAAGCTCAAAGAACAAAATAAAAGAATGGTTCTGTGTAGAGCTGAAACGGGACACAATTTGGATAAAATGCAGGAAATTGCGTCTAGGAAATACGTTTTCTGGAGGACCCCCAGACCCCCCCGCGACAATGAAGTTTCTCTAGGACCCCCGAGTCCCTTATTTACATTTCTGAAAGGTTGCATTCCTAATTAAGAAGGAAGACCAAAATTGTAAGCATTTCTTGTTTGAACAAAAATGACAAAAATCCAACAACTTTAACAATGAGCATCTTTCTGCAGGTTTGAAATGAGGTTCAAACAAACACCTTTGAACACTGGCAAATCTAGGCGAAATTTCCAGGACCACAAAACGAAATGACAAACACACAAACCAAACAAAAAAAAAAGCAAAAGACAGGAGCGCATTATTTAGTATATTAAGAAAAGCCATGGTTCGAAAGGATCCTTATCTAACAGATAAAAGATGTGATCCTATCTTGATGTGGCTGGAGGGACAAATCCGTTATGGTTTTTCAACTTATAACATAAACTGATTTAGTATTACAATGAAAAAACTGATCTAAATAAGTAATAATTTCTTTAAAGTGCATTTGCCCTTAATTCGAGCCACTAAATAAAATGATCTGCCAAAGGAGCGACTAGTTTTGCTCTTATAATAAGATAAGTAGATATGATTCACCTTAAATAAGACAACGGAGTTTTTATTCTATTGGCAAATTGTCTTATCAGCTCAAATCAAGTTAAAAAAAAATCCATATTAAGGGGAGAAATTGACTTAGATTTCAGTTTTTTCAGTTTATGTTTCCAGTACAGGAGCTGTTCTACGGGGGCCCTGGCCCCCGATCACACTGCTGTCCTTTTTAATGTTAAAATTGAACATTAATAGGTAAGATGACAGCTTTAAATAGAGCGCTAACAAACAGAAGCCCCTAAGCCCACAGCTCCCAGGGCCAATGGTTCAATCTCCAAGTCTCAAGTCAGTCTTAATATTTTTTTTTTTTTTTATAGATTTCAGATTATTGAAATTTGATCTGGTTGAACTGTAAAGTGCCTTGAGACAACTTGTGTTGTGAATTGGCGCTATATAAATAAACTGAATTGAATTGAAATTATGTAGGAGATACAACCCTTACTTTAGGAAATTCAGCATAATTTTGCACCTAATAATCTTTAGAATGAGTATTATACTCATCCTCACTGCAACACTGATTTATATGTAACAAGGATACTGATTGTTCTCTTTTGTAGTAGTCACTTCTCATCTGGATTCTTCAAAATGTAGCTCCTACCTCCTTTTACTACCTCCTATCCCTTCACATTCAGCTGGATGAACAGTAAGAACTCTATCCAGGGTAGGAAAGGGACGATGAACTGTTGAGCTGAATCCAGAAAGCCTTCAGCTTTATGGATGTCATTACACGACGGACACACACACACACACACACACACACACACACACCCATACTAGTTCGGCTATATATAGTGAGGACCATGTGTTGACTCCCACTGAGTTTGAGTCGTACTTTTTCAAGCCTTTCTATGCCCTAACCCTGAACCTAACCATTACCAATGCATACCTCACCCTGACCCAATTGACACCTTAGCCCTAAACCTAACCTATAGCAAAATAGCTTGTGAGGACCAGCAAAATGTCCTCACTTTGCAAGAACTGGTCCTCAATTTGATGGTGAAATTGGAAAAATTGGTCCTCACCCTGAGGGCTAGACAGGTACACACACACATACATATTATACTTAAAAAGATTAATTTTGTCATTTTGTATACACAAGTGTAGACAAAAAGAAATTTCGTTTAGAACATCTCTCTAGACAATTTCATTTTTTTTAAAGTGCAGCCTTGATAAGGTAAGCAGCAGTTGTTGTTGAGCTGCTACTGCTGCCTCCAGCTCCTGAGGCACTCGCTTCTCCTGGCTCAGGGGATTAAAAGGACAATGATGATGATGATGACGATGCTGTGACGGTGGTAGCACCCTGGGCTGAAGAAGCTGACGTGGTTGAAGCAGCAGTGGTGCATCGGCAGGTTTAGCAGCGACAGACGATGCTGGAGAAGGTGTGGAAGCCGGAGGAGCTTCCACACCTTCCACTCGGGATGTTTCAGCATTTGGCAGGGAAGCATCTAGAGTGCTCTCCTCATTTTTACCTGCAGGGGGCTTTGCTTCCATTCTAGATGCTAAAGATTGCCTGGGAACAGTGTCAGTGGAACTTCCATTCACATAGAGCTCCTGTTTCTATCGGCGCAGTACAGCATCAGCCCCCCCAAGCCAACAGTATTGTCCGGTATTGCTGGATGGAGCCAAGATCCCATCAGAATGATAGCGCAGCAGTTAAATGTCTCCTTTTTTGAAGAGAGTTCGAGTCGGAGATTATCCATTTTGTTTTCCAACGAGCGGACGTTGGAGAGCAGGATTGATGGAAGCGCTGGTCTGTGGGGATTTCTCATTAGCTTCGCAGTTAGCCCCCCTCTGCAGCCTCGCTTTCTCCATCTCGAACATCTCTTGCACCGTCAGTCGTTTTCCGCTGTTGTTTTGTTGACATCCGTCCATAGCACTCCGCAGCTTTTTAAACAGCCAAATATGTCAGTACTTAAAACATTTTGTGACCGTAGCTCCAGCAGGCGTTGGCGATCATAGATGCAGGTTTGATGTGTAGTTTGTATCGTTTTAACCGATTAAAACAATATGTAAACCATTTAGGTGAAGCCTAATGATGCACCTTTTTTCTTGAGGAAAAAAATATTTACTTTTGGAATGCAAAAACTCATTCTTTTTGTTAGTCTGATTTGCAAGTGTTTAAGCACAAGACCTTGTGGCACTCCTATAGTTGTTGAAGCTGGTGGCCTGACACATAGGAAGCATCCGGCTGATTCTGAAGCTTCACGGTGTCTCTGCAAACCATCTCAAAGCGGGAGTGACGGAAGTCGATGGCAAAAGTGCCCAAGAAGATCAGGAAGAACATAACCAGGGCCCACTGGCATCGAGCTGAATGCATGTATGAGATCTTTATCAGAGCTGAATCAGGAGAGTTAAGGATGAAGAGCGCATATAAAACAATGCATATGTCTAAATCCTGCTTTATTTTGTTTTTATTTTTTTTTATTTTGTCCTTTGAATGTTTACAAACCTTTGTATGTAAAACATTGGTGACATTTTGTCACTGTTAAGTTTGAAGACGTTTCGCTTCCCATCCAAGAAGCTGGTTGGGAAACAAAATGTCTTTAAACCTGGATACAAAGTCCAGTGGATTGTTTTTAATTGTTTCTTTTTTTTTCTTTTGATATAACTATGTCCTGGATGACTGGGAATCGTTCTCAGCGTGACAGTAAAAAACATGGAAGAAGAGTTTCTGGTCAGATGGGACTTGATATGATTTTTAGAAAGCTTTTAAAACACTGGTTGTGGAGGAAAACAAAAACTGAACTCTACAGTGAAGCACAGTGGTGGCAACATCATGCTGTGGAGCTGCTTTCCTTCAGCACAGACAGGGAAGCTAATCAGAGTTGATATGAGATGGAAGAAGCAATAATCCAGATTAAAACCTGCTAGAGGCATCAGAAGGCCTGAGGCACAGGTTAACCAACCAGATGGACTTTAGAGGACGCTAGAGATAAAATGGTCCAGTCAAAGTTCAGACCTAAATCCAGAATCAGAGGTAAATAAAAATGTTCTGGAAATATGTGTAGAAGTACTTCATTTGAAAAGGCAAACAAACCAATCTTCCAATAGAATATAACTTTTAAGCTTAAAATAAAACTGTCTAAATTATAATTTTTCAAGTGCTGCATATAGGATTAACTAATTTTAGGAACCGAAATTCATATTCCATTGACAGATCATGTTACCTGCTCAAATACTCTTATCTTAAGATATTGGTACTTTAGATAAGTTTAATGTGGACAGAAGCTATTTGTCCAATCTGGTTCAGCTATTTTGCAAACAATAAAGAAAGGTATATAAAAAAAACTTGATATGAAAGGGATATGGGAGCTGGAGGCAAACACAACTATTGAAGATAAAGAGTGGGAGGAACCATGTTATACGTAAGCTTCAAATATTTGAGAACAAAGCTGCGCGCCTGGCCCTTCGCCATCCCCCACAGACCAGCATTACCTCTATGCATCAAGCTTTCTGTTGAGAAAAGATTATTGTAAAAGCTTCTAATCTTGTGCCTCAAAATATTCATAAAAAAGCTAAGCTTTATTTTGGTGATGGACTCCAGGAAGACTAGTTTCTACTCTGATGGGCAACTAATGTGGATCCTAATAGCAAATAAACATATCTAAGAGTGACACAACTAAAACAGTCCAGGTATTTTCTGGGATTGCCAAGCTTTAAAATCTTATAGACAAGGGTTTCAAAGAAAGAATTTAGGACTTTGTTAAAACTGCCTTTTGTTGCATAATATTATATCTTGGGTCTGATGCCGTGGGATGGATTGGAACAAAAAGAAAGTTCAATTCAAGTTATTTCCTTCTCTTTCTTGCACAATGCTTCTTTAGAAATGGAATTTTCCTAGAGATTGGTTTGCTGCTGTCATTAACACTTTGGCCTGACATGAGTATGGGCTGTGTTCAGTTGATATGCTAATTGTTATTTTTGTATATTTGTTGTATTTGCATCTGAATAAAGAAAAACAACCAATTGTTGTCCTAGGTCAGACCTGCTGGCTAATCAGGACCCGACCTGATTTTTAAACATTTTTAAATTACCACATGTTCTAATTACACTTGCGCCACTTCTCCAGTTAATATGGTAAAGCCTTCTGGAGTGTCATGACCAGGATACACGTGATACATATTATCCAATGAGCTGCTGTCAGTCTGAGTTGCTGCTGCTGCTACTTTTAGACACAGCAGGCAAACCTGTGGCAAGCCGGGCGATGGGAAAGAAGGAGAAGATGATGAGAAAAAGAGAGCAGAGAAAGTGTGGACTGCTGGAAGAACTGTGGTGAACTGGTGAAAGAAAAGTGAAATGGTGCTCAAAGATGACCCTGCACATTTAGAGGATGTTTAGCTCAACCTGCTGCTGTGAAGCAGGATTCTCCACCATGAACAGAATCAGATGTTTTATAAAATATGTGAATCAGGAAATTGTCTATATACCAAACTGACCGATTGCTGTTCTCTACTTCAAAGAACACTTTAGATTTAAAAATTGAAAAATGCTTTTCTGTCTAAAAATTCAATGTATAACATGGATGCATAAATACTTAATTTTATTTAAGTGTTAAATTCTGTTTAAAGAAACAGATTATAAATAAAAATATCTCCGGACCTTTACTGGTTGATGATTTTCTTTATTCGGAACCTGCTGATTTTTAATTGGTTACCCCTGTCCCAGGTGGACAAAATCATACTACAATTATTTGCTTTAATATGTTTTTAAAAATTCAGCTTTTCTTTCCTTGTTTTTCAAAATTCAAGTTGATAATAGGATTCCTTCTGGAATCTTGTTGTGACGACAACGAACATGTAGTAATCAAAGTGATTTGTGTTATTATTTTCCTTAGTAGATCTGTAATACATGAAAAATGTATGTAGAATTTTATCTATAAGCAAGTGCTCTATGTGAAAGGATACAGTACAATAATATAACGCAGAGAGTGATGGCTGCAGACAGCAGGAAACGACAGATAGCCAGTTTCCTTCCCTCGTTCTTCAGGTTAACTCTCAGCGTGATGTAAGACTGAGTCCAGCAGTACAAGGTGCCCGGTCCAAACGTCAGCAAAGTGCCAATGTCGTGAATATACATCATCTCCAGAAGCTGCAAATAAACAAACAAAAAAAAAACTAAAAAATTAAAATAAAAAAACCAACAGCAGGTCAGTGCACCATGTTCCAGACGGGGGGGGCTTTCACCTAATGGTCAGCGGTTACCTGGAAGTTTCCCACAATCGTCGTTCCAAAACAGCCGACTGAGAAAGACGCAAACGTGGCAATGTTCAGCCACTGCTTGTCTAATTTGGTCTTCAGCTGAAGGTACCTGAGGACGGCTATGATGAACCCTGAAACAGTAGAGAACCAGTAGAACTGGGAAGGCCACAGCAGGCTTCTATTAAACATTAAACATCAGTCAATCCTTATCTGGTTACTCATCATCTACAAACTTTACTATAGGTAATACAAAACTATTGTACAGAAAAATGAATAAATGGCATCCATAGATTATTAAAGTAAAACAGCAAAGGGCAAAATCAACTGAAAAACTTAATCTGTTAAGAAGAGAACCAATTTACAGATTTCCTCTTAAATAGTCCATAATACTTTAGATTTCATTCAGTTAATGATGAATCTGCCACACGCTCAAAGGTTACCTGTGGAGTACCACAGGGATCAGTGCTAGGACCAATTCTCTTTACTTTATACA